ACTGCAGTTCCATCATCCTCACACCACTGCATGTGATGGTACAAGTTACTGCAGTTCCATCATCCTCACACCACTGCATCTGGTGGTACAAGTTACTGCAGTTCCATCATCTCACAACACATGCATCTGATGGTAACAAGTTACTGCAGTCCATAATCCTCACACCACTGCATCTGTGGTACAAGTTACTCAGTTTCCTCATCCTCACACCACTGCAATCTGTGGTACAAGTTACTGCAGTTCCATCATCCTCACACCACTGCATCTGGTGGTACAAGTTACTGCAGTTCCATCATGCTCACACCACTGCATCTGGTGGTACAAGTTACTGCAGTTCCATCATCCTCACACCACTGCATCTGATGGTACAAGTTACTGCAGTTCCATCATCCTCACACCACTGCATCTGGTGGTACAAGGTTACTGCAGTTCCATCATCTCACACCATTGCATCGATGGTACAAGTTACTGCAGTCCATCAGCCTCACACCACTGCATCTGGTGGTACAAGTTACTGCAGTTCCATCATCCTCACACCACTGCATCTGATGGTACAAGTTACTGCAGTTCCATCATGCTCACACCACTGCATCTGGTGGTACAAAAGGGTTTCTGCAGATTCCATCATCCTCACACCACTGCATCTGGTGGTACAAGTTACTGCAGTTCCATCATCCTCACAACCACTGCATCTGGTGGATAAGTTACTGCAGTTCCTCATCCTCACACCACTGCATCTGTGGTACAGTTACTGCAGTTCCATCATCCTCACATCACTGCATCTGTGGTACAAGTTACTGCAGTTTCCATCATCCTCACACCACTGCATCTGGTGGTACAAGTTACTGCAGTTCCATCATCCTCACACCACTGCATCTGGTGGTACAAGTTACTGCAGTTCCATCATCCTCACAACCACTGCTCTGGTGGTACAAGTACTGCAGTTCATCATCCTCACACCACTGCACTGGTGTACAAGTTACTGCAGTTCCATCATCCCACATCACTGCAAATATGGTTACAGGTTACTGCAGTTCATCTCTCACACACTCTGCATCTGGTGGTACAGGTACTGCAGTTCCATCTTCCTCACAAGTGCTGCACTGGTGGTACAATATACTGCAGTTCCATCATCCTCACACCACTGATCTGTCGGTACAGTTACTGCATTTCATCATCCGTCACATCACTGCATCTGGTGGTACAAGTTACTGCAGTTCCATCATCCTCACACATCCCTGCATTGGTTACAAGATACTCAGTTCATCAGTTACAAACTGCATCTGATGGTACGTTACTGAGCATCATCCTACACAGTCCTTTTCTGGTGGTACAAGTACTCACACCGTCATCCTCACACCACGATCATGGTGGTACAAGTTACTGCAGTCCATCATCCTCACCCACTGACTGGTGGTACAAGTTACTAATGTTCCGTCATCTTCAACCACTGCATCTGGTGGTAACCAGTAACTGTTCATCAGCTCAAATTCCACTCTATCTGTCAACTATTTCAGTTCCATCATTCTCACACCAGCATTGTGGAGCAAGTTACTGCAGTCCTTCATTCCATCATTCCATACCACTGCATCTGTGGTACAATTACTGCACTCCATCTCCTCACCACCCACGTCCATCTGGGTTCAATTCTGGGGTCCTTCCTCCCACACCACTGCATCTGGTGGACAAGTTACTCGTTCCCCATCTCCACCCCTGCATCTTGGGGAAAGTTACACATTCCTCATCCCACACCACGCATTTGGTACAAGTTACTGCAGTCCTCATCCCACACCATCATTGGTGTCAAGTTATCTTCCATCAACCCTACCTGTAGGTTTCAGTTAACCCCCCACCCATCATCTTTTCAAACTGCATCTTGGGCCATTACGCAGCTTCCATCATCCCTCCACCACCATCTGTGGTAAAGTTTACTGCAGGGTTTTCCCACATCCACACCCGGGTCATCTTTCACATACTGGCATCCCTCATCCTCCCCCCCACTATGATGGTAACAAGTTACTGCAGTCCATCACCCCACAAAAGGGGTGTACAAGTTACTGCGCTCCCCTCTTAACCCCTGAATTTGGGGGAAAAGTTACGCGTCCATCATCCTCACACCACGTTGGGGTAAAAATTTTTTTTCCCTCCTCCCCACTCACTGGTGGTACAAATTTGCAGCTCCCTCCCCCACCCCACGCATTGGTTCAATTTTGCAGTCATCACCTCAACCACGCATCTGTGGCAAGTTACGCCTTCCCCCTTTTACACCACCAATCTTTTTTTGGGCCCCCCCCCCCTCCCTTTACTCTTGGTTTAAAATATCATTTTCCCTATGCTCCAACCCCCCGCTCTGGGGGACATTTCATTCTCTACATCACTTCGGGGTTAACAAACCCCCTCCACATCTCACACCCCAATGGGTGGGTACCAAATTATCCCCCCCTCATCTAACAGCCCGGGGTTTTAAAAAAGACTCATCTATCACTCCCCTTCTGTGAGCACCACTGGGCTGTTAGGATGACTGTGGTGTACCTAGTTGGATGAATCTTACTGAAGCGGTCTGAAGTTTTGAGACTCTCTGAGCGCGGGTTCCAACCCCACCAGTGGTATGGTTTGGGCTGTTAGGCTATCGATATAGTAAACAAAAACAAACAGAAAGACCTGACCTTACCAGCACTAACTTTCTTTCTGAGGTGTGAACCCTCATTTGACAGCCATAAAAGTTGAGTGGTTGTGACGAAGTCTTTGAAAACAGTGTTTAGGGAGGCATTAAACGTGTCAAAGAATCATTCTCGAGATCAAGTTATAGAAGCTCGTAATACGAGATCAAGTTATAGAAGTTCTTAATATGAGATCAAGTTATAGAAGTTCGTAATACGAGATCAAGTTATAGAAGTTCGTAATACGAGATCAAGTTATAGAAGTTCGTAATACGAGATCAAGTTATAGAAGTTCGTAATACGAGATCAAGTTATAGAAGTTCGTAATACGAGATCAAGTTATAGAAGTTCGTAATACGAGATCAAGTTATAGAAGTTCGTAATACGAGATCAAGTTATAGAAGTTCGTAATACGATACAAGAAGCATTATTTCTATCCTCATTGTTACGATCACGTGAGTCATCTAAGGCAAAATAAACAATAAAAATTAATATAAATCACTGCAGCATGACATGAAAAATAATGAACAAATGTTTGTAAAAGAATTAAATACTGACACATGAAAATAAATACTGATATATAAAAATAAGACACGGGAAAATAAGACCACAATAAAAAAAGTGTATAACTAAATAGTGAGAATATGAGAGAGAGAGAGAGATGAATCTAGGAGTTACTAAAAGAAAATTGTCTCCTGCTGAACATGTAAATGAAAATGTGTGAGAAACTCGTATGCAACACAATTATCAAATGACTTAAATGGAGGGAGATATTTTAACAAAAGTTATTTACCACAGGTTAAGTTGGAGTATAGAGCAGCAGTTGTGTCCACACCGTCAAGGTTATTTATCACAGGTTAAGTTGAAGTATAGAGCAGCAGTTGTGTCCACACCGTCAAGGTTATTTACCACAGGTTAAGTTGAAGTATAGAGCAGCAGTTGTGTCCACACCGTCAAGGTTATTTACCACAGGTTAAGTTGGAGTATAGAGCAGCAGTTGTGTCCACACCGTCAAGGTTATTTATCCACAGGTTAAGTTGGAGTATAGAGCAGCAGTTGTGTCCACACCGTCAAGGTTATTTATCACAGGTTAAGTTGGAGTATAGAGCAGCAGTTGTGTCCACACCGTCAAGGTTATTTATCACAGGTTAAGTTGGATTATAGAGCAGCAGTTGTGTCCACACCGTCAAGGTTATTTATCACAGGTTAGTTGGAGTATAGAGCAGCAGTTGTGTCCACACCGTCAAGGTTATTTACCACAGGTTAAGTTGGAGTATAGAGCAGCAGTTGTGTCCACACCGTCAAGGTTATTTACCACAGGTTAAGTTGGAGTATAGAGCAGCAGTTGTGTCCACACCGTCAAGGTTATTTACCACAGGTTAAGTTGGAGTATAGAGCAGCAGTTGTGTCCACACCGTCAAGGTTATTTATCACAGGTTAAGTTGGAGTATAGAGCAGCAGTTGTGTCCACACCGTCAAGGTTATTTACCACAGGTTAAGTTGGAGTATAGAGCAGCAGTTGTGTCCACACCGTCAAGGTTATTTATCACAGGTTAAGTTGGGAGTATAGAGCAGCAGTTGTGTCCACACCGTCAAGGTTATTTATCACAGGTTAAGTTGGAGTATAGAGCAGCAGTTGTGTCCACACCGTCAAGGTTATTTATCACAGGTTAAGTTGAAGTATAGAGCAGCAGTTTGTGTCCACACCGTCAAGGTTATTTATCACAGGTTAAGTTGGAGTATAGAGCAGCAGTTGTGTCCACACCGTCAAGGTTATTTATCACAGGTTAAGTTGGAGTATAGAGCAGCAGTTGTGTCCACACCGTCAAGGAATGTCAATAAATTTTGAATATATCTCAATTATTAACATTGGGAAGGGCTAAACCGAATATATTTGAAAAAGAGCTTTCAGAGATGGAAATATAAACACATATGCAGTATAATGTGATCCTTTATTGACTACGTTTCGCCCACATAGTGGGCTTTTTCAAGTCAAACAGAACTACCTGGGGTGGAAGGAACGCGAGTATTTATAATCAGGTTCAGAATGCTGAGGTCAGGTGGAGAATGCTGCATCTGATGATGTACCGAGTGGGGTTATAGAGTCTAAAATCTTGGGTAGCTTGGAAAGGAGATTGGATAAGTTTGTGAGCAGACCTTCTACAGCTATCCCACATAAGAACACTGTAGAAGGTCTGCTCACAAACTTATCCAATCTCCTTTCCAAGCTACCCAGGATTTTAGACTCTATAACCCCACTCGGTACATCATCAGATGCAGCATTCTCCACCTGACCTCAGCATTCTGAACTGGACTATAAATACTCGCGTTCCTTCCACCCCAGGTAGTTCTGTTTGTGACTTGAAAAAGCCCACTATGTGGGCGAAACGTAGTCAATAAAGGATCACATTATACTGCATATGTGTTTATATTTCCATTGTGTTGGTATTTTATACCATTTATTTCCAGCTTTCAGAGATGAAGAAACGCGAGTTGTAATGAAAGGCTGCTTATACTAGCCATGTCTACACACACACACACACACACACACACACACACACACACACACACACACACACACACACACGTATGCATACGTAAACAGACAATTATTTTTTGGGTGATTTCGAAAGCCAATGGAAGTTTTGGAAATCTGACCCAAAGCGCCATTAAAATTGCCATCATATTACTAAGACTCGTTCTAGCGGCCATTTTTGTTTTTCTTTTGGTTAAATACCACAATTATAATTAATTTGGAACTCTTGGAAAGATTAATATTCTTCAGAAGTATTGATTTAAGTCACGTACTCACCCAACGTCATCTTTTGTGGATCCTGTGATGTTATTTAGCCAGTTACTTGATATGGATATACTTACTGGCAATAGTGGCTGGTTACGTAAGATTCATCAGGAAAGAGGACAAGTGTTTCATGAAACTGGTCTTAGTCACATGATGACCCACTACTGGAGATTTTGGTCATCTGACCGAGGCCTTCCACTAACCCACCACTGGAACTTTCGGACATCTGACCGAGGTCATCCACTAGTTTACCACTGGAGCCTTTGGTCATTTTACCGAGGCCTTCTACTGGCTTACCATTCCACCCTTTTAAAAATTAAGATTTAACCATTTTTCTTGCAATATATGTTAGTTCAGGTTACTCGAGCTGATACACACAAGGGAGGCGGCGCGGGTGAGTCAATCGGAAAGTGAGATAAGATAAGATAAGATTTTGTTCGGATTTTTAACCCCGGAGGGTTAGCCACCCAGGATAACCCAAGAAAGTCAGTGCGTCATCGAGGACTGTCTAACTTATTTCCATTGGGGTCCTTAATCTTGTCCCCCAGGATGCGACCCACACCAGTCGACTAACACCCAGGTACCTATTTGCTGCTAGGTGAACAGGACAATAGGTGTAAGGAAACGTGTCGGAATTTCCACCCGCCGGGAATCGAACCCGGGCCCTCCGTGTGTGAAGCGGGAGCTTTAGCCACCAGACCACCGGGCCACAACAAGATGAGTAAGAATGGGAGAAGGCTTATAGGGGGTGCTAATTCGAGTTGTGACACAGGGAAGGAAGCGATGAGAGAGAGAATTAGTGGCTGAGTATCGGAGAGATGGTGGTTAAGACCGAGAAATAACATGGTGGTCTTGTGATCGCCGTGTACCAACAGTTTGCATGGAATTTTTGTTTAAGTTGTAACTATGTCCACATTCTGTCTTTTTATTGTTACTGCTATAGCAAGTTTTTCTCCTTCTACAGCTGGCGTTATCAGATCCCCTTAGCTTCTTTGTTTTTGTGCCGTCGGAGCCAGGTGGAGAGACGTGAATCTTTGTAGACACTCTGTGAGCGACTGACTTTCTTGACATTTTGGTCATGAACGAGTTTTCTTGGGGGTCGGGGGGGAAGAGAGCCCTTGCTTGTGTTGTTGTCTGGACTGCGGGAAATCTTCAACTCCCTGTTGTCGCCATCAACCTTCTCACGGTAGTGTCGCAGTTTCCAGGGTGCGAGCAGCGAGAAGGATCTCGACACCTTTTTTGCCTGGCGACTGGAACTTTGTTCACCAGTGGCACGGCTCACTGGGATATCAGCAATGGTTGTAGCATGGAGATACACAGATCTGTTGGTACCCGTTGATACCTTTGAGGCCTTTGAGGTACGTGAAGACTGTGACCCTCCCTGGCCATCCACTTCATTCTCACTATTCTGCAAGGAGCCTCCAGAAATTCCCACTACCAGGGGTGAAACGCTCCGTGGGCTGCTGGCGGATCTGCGGTCCCTTCCCACACACTTGATGGCAGACCTGCTTGAGCGGTTCGGCAGGCTGTGGTAGTCGACAACACTCGTCCTGCAATGGTTACTCTCGGTGTCGGTGTCACCAAAGTAGCGGTGTTTGAGGCTGGCAGTTTGTGCCACTTGCGCCGACGGGGAAGTGCCACCCGAGGAAGCAGAAGATTCTGCAGAACACTTCCTGGTGGGCTGCTGAACAGTGGAACTGCCTTGTTCTTCCCTGACAACATCACCGGCACTGCCCCTCCTCTCCTGCACCTCTTCCCGGCTCACTGTGGATATGTGCCAAGGAGGCTCCAATCCCATCTCTTTTCCCTTCTGCTTCTGTTTCTTCTGTTCCTGCAACAGTTTCTGCTGCTGCTCCCGCTGACGTTGCCGCTCTCTAGTGAACTTCGTTGACTGGCCCTGAAATACAAAACAATACTGATTATGCTGATCCCTCGCAACACATCACGAATGCTACCACAATCGCCTCTGCCACCAATATATCACAACTACGATAGCTTTAGCTAGAATTTACTAGCACAAGTAATGTTTTAATACTCTACTAAACAGCGAAAGAAGCGTTCACCAAAATCAGATATAACGCCTAACCCAATATAATCAAATATTTGATTTTGTCGATGAAATCTTCAAAGGTTCTCGATCTAAAGAATCTCAACTATTCGTCAATTGTTAGATCAACCTATTTCTCGTTTCCCAAATGATTCCTCATGATTATATTAAAACTGAAGCACTACACACATATATTAACAGCACTTGGATAATAGGATGTAAAAAAGGTTAATCCGAGAAGGTTATAACACAAAGTCCTCGCATGACGAGTCCTCCGCCAGCACCAGGTCACCCTGAAAGAAAAGACACAAATGCAGTAAAATGCGATCCTTTATTGACAACGTTTCGCCCACACAGTGAACAAAAAGAACAGATTGTACAAGAATGGTATACAATACCGACAAGATGAAATTGAGACACACGTGCAACATCTGGGTATCTTTATTGTAGACGTTTCGCCATCCAGTGGCTTTATCAATACAAATTCCAGGACATAGCAAAAAGAACAGAAAATGGGAATACACGAGAGAGAATACGAAAACTTGAGGATTCGTCTGAGTGAATGCGAAAGGTAACTGGAAAGCAAAACTGTACAAAAATTGATGGATGTAGTGGAGTGAAAGTGATAAGAGGCATAGAAGACATACGAAGCATAAAGTAAGTAATCAGAAAAAAACAAAAAGAGCCTGTGGATCAAGTAATAATCCGGAGAGATCAAAGGATCAAGATGGCATGGAAATGTAGATGAATGGTTCAGAGAACCGACACGTTGATAAATTAGACACATGTGCAACTCTTGGGTATCTTTATTGAAGATACCCAAGAGTTGCACATGTCAATTATCGGTCATGAATATATATCGGCAATGAAAATGAATAAATGAAGCCAAATCAAGAATTCAAACCTACCCCCGGCCGGGATTGAACCCGCGGTCATAGAGTCTCAAAACTCCAGCCCGTTGTAAACAAATGTGCAAAAATAAGACGGGAAGCTGAAACACTTTGAAATTAATACAGCATCAAAGGCCAAAACTTTGCCAAAGTTACATCACATTCACATTAGAAAAAAGACGATTGTAAAGAAACAATTGCTTAGGAAAGGCAGAAGGAAGGGACGCTAATGGAGAATGACAGAGAAATATGCGAAGTGCTGAGGAAAAGAATCAAAGAAATCTTCACTGTTTCGTCAGTAGCAGTGAAGACCAACATTTACTGGAGAGTATCAAGACAAAGGATGTTATCAGACTACTACATGCACTGGAGCCAACAACAACAACAACAACAACAACAACAACAACAACAACAACAACAACAACAACAACAACAACAACAACAACAACAACAACAACAACAACGGGTTCAGACAACATTTCACGGGTACTGAGAGAAGAGCAAAACATGTGATCCAGTAACAAGGGTATTTAACAAGTCTCTCCAAATCAAGACAGCTATCAAAAATTAAAAAAAAAAAAAGGAAATAACATGAAATATCGCCCTGACTTTCAGGCCAATATCCTTAAAACGCATTTCTGTCACACGTTCAATAGATAATTAGGCAAATAATACTGAGACACCTGGAGAGAAGAAGTCTATAGAAAACGAGCACCAATTTTGGAATGGAAAAAATTTTCTTTAGAAATTTGCAGGAATACTACGATAGAGTCACAGAGATTAAGCAGAAAAGACAAGATTGGGTGAAAATTAGCACACCACAGATTAGCATAAATATTAGAAAAAAAAGCACAGTTAAAAGCAGTGATCCATAGGGCCAAAGAGCAGGTACCTCACTGACAAAAGCAGAGTGATCCATTGGGTCAAAGAGCAGGTACCTCACTGACAAAAGCAGAGTGATCCATAGGGCCAAGGAGCAGGTACCTCATTGACAAAAGCAGAGTGATCCATAAGGCCAAGGAGCAGGTACCTCACTGACAAAAGCAGAGTGATCCATAGGGCCAAGGAGCAGGTACCTCACTGACAAAAGCAGAGTGATCCATAGGGCCAAGGAGCAGGTACCTCACTGACAAAAGCAGAGTGATCCATAGGGCCAAGGAGCAGGTACCTCACTGACAAAAGCAGAGAGCAACAACAACGAATGAGACATGCAAATGGAAGAAAGTAATGAACAAGAATCATTGTTAGGAGTTAAATATTTGTAATATACGTGAATGTCTTACCAGAGGAGGTCGAGTCCCGTTTGTCTCCGTTTGCCGACGATGTATAAGTAATGAGAAGAATAAGAACAGGAGAGGACAGTGATCAACTCAAGACTCAGCTGACTCTAGATGTGATCTAACAAGAGGGAGCGCTCTTCAGTTCTAAGGACTCAGTGGTCAGTCGTCAGTACTCAGTGGTCAGTCGTCACGTGAGGTCACAGACCCTGAGCTGCTTTGGGGATTAGTGTGGACGGTTACAAAGCATGGCTTGCTTCTGCAGTGTTTTAAAAATTGAGGTTGGAGAGTTGAAGGAGGAGGTCTTGCTTCTCCAGGAGGAGATTAGGAGGCTGAAGGTCCACCTCAATGGGTCTGGGAGAGAGTGTGAGGTGGCTGGAGTTGTGGGGAATGAGGCTTCTAGCAGCGAGGTGCAGTCTGTCTCTCGCTGTGAGGAGGCTGTAGTTGGGGAGGCAGCAACGGCTACCAGCAGTGAGGTGCAGCCCAGCACCTGCTACAAGTGGCGAGTAGTTCACAGTAATGGAAGGCGCATCAGAGTAAGGAAAGTTAAGAGTGAAGATCTGAAGGTAGAAATCGCTTCTCTGTTCTTCAGGATGAATGTACTTCAGTGGCCAGTGAAGGTAGGGTACTACTGCCCCTGCTAATGGAGGTAAGCGCATTCTTGTGGTTGGTGACTCTCAGGTAAGATACATTGACCGTGCTTTTTGTAATAGGAATAAGAAGATGAGAGATAGAGTGTGCTTCCCTGGAGCTGGTGTTGGGGACATGTCAACAGGCTGGATAATATCATGTCAGGTAATGGGAGCAAGCCCATTATCTGTCTCAGTGCTGGTGGAAATGATATTGGGAAGGGTAGGAGAGAGAAGAGCTGCTAGATAAGTACAGGTCAGCTATAGATTTCATTAAGTCTAAGGGAGGGATCCCAATCATATGTAGCATCTTGCCTAGAAGGGGAGTAGGAAATGAATGGTTTGTCTAGGGCAATTGGTGTAAATTGCTGGCTAGACAGATACTGCAGGAACTTGCAATCCATTCATTGACAACTGGAACAACTTTTATGGCAAACATGATATGTATGCAAGGGATGGGGTACATCTCTCTGGGGCTGGGTGGTAGCACTTGCAGACTCGATTGAGAAGGCCATTGGTGAAATGCCTATGATTTTAAAACTGATGGAAGATAGAGGTATGGGTGTGTGTGGGAAACAAGCAGGTTGCAAACACTTGGGGTTGGAAACAGTAAATGTATAAAAGGCATTCAGCATGAAGTTATAAATAAAGACAATAGATCAGGTCAGCAAACAAAGGGGGACAGCAGAGGGCAGCAAGGGACTAGCTCCCTTAAGGTTTACTATACTAATAGCAGGAGTGTAAAGAAATAAGATAGATGAGCTAAGATTAATTGCAAGTGCAGGAAACTAGATATTATATGCTATAAACAGAGACCTGGCTCAATCTGAAAGATAGAGAGATGCCCTCTGAATGTCACATACAAGGCTATAAATTATTCCACACTGACAGGGTCAACAGGAAAGGTGGTGGAGTAGCGATGTATGTCAGAGACAATTTAAATTGTTGTGTTAGACAAGATATTAAATTAGAAGCGTCAGCCACTGAATCTGTTTGGTTACAGCTTCTCGAGGGCCGAAAAAACTAATTTTGGTGTGATTTACAGGGCCCCAAATCTTGATAGGGAGTGCAGTAAACTTCTATGGGACGAAATTCGTAAGGCATCTACATACGAAAATGTTGTGCTAATGGGAGATTTCAACTATAGACAGATTGACTGGAGCAATTTGACAGGAAATTTAGAGTCAGGTGACTTTCTTGATACGATCCAGGATTGTTTTTTTAAAACATTTGTGACAGAGCCACTAGGGGAAATAACCTCCTTGACTTGGTTCTTGCCAGTAGGGAAACACTAATTAATAATCTTGAGGTTAATGATGAGCTTGGGAAAGTGATCACAAATCACTCAGTTTTAATATATCATGGAATTCCCCTAATAAATGGCAATCAAGTCCCGTCCCTGACTTTCGCTTGGCTGATTTCATAGACTGAAAAATTACTTAGGTGGGCTGAACTGGAATGACCTGACTAAGGGTCAGGTAGGTGGTGATGGTTGCCGATATGATGCTTTCCAGGGCATAGTTCTAGCTGCTCAGTCAAATTATGTTCCAAATAGGGAAATCAGATCAAACAAAAATGATCCTAAATGGTATGAACAATAGATTAAAATATCTGATTGGTCAAAAGAGAGGCATATATAGGCAAATCAAAAGAGGAGAGGGGCAATTGAGAAATCGATATATTCAGTTTAAAGAGAGAAATAAAAAAGGGAATTAGAAAAGCAAAAAGAGATTATGAGGTTAAAGTTGCAAGAGAATCGAAGACTAACCCAAAAGGATTCTTTCAGGTATACAGAAGTAAGATCAGGGACAAGATAGGCCCACTCAAAAGTTCCTCGGGTCAGCTCACTGACAGTGATAAGGAAATGTGTAGAATTTTTAACACATACTTCCTCTCAGTTTTTTACACAGAGGATACCAGCGATATTCCAGTAATGATAAATTATGTAGAACAGGACGATAATAAACTGTGCACTATTAGGGTCACAAGTGACATGGTCCTTAGGCAAATAGATAAATTAAAACCTAACAAATCCCCAGGCCCTGATGAACTGTATGCAAGGGTTCTAAAGGAATGTAAAGAGGAGCTTAGCACACCTTTGGCTAATCTTTTCAACATATCACTACAAACTGGCATGGTGCCAGATAAGTGGAAAATGGCAAATGTGATACCTATTTTCAAAACAGGTGACAGGTCCTTAGCTTCGAACTATAGACCAATAAGCCTAACCTCCATAGTGGGAAAATTTATGGAATCAATAATTGCCGAGGCAGTTCGTAGCCACCTGAAAAGCATAAATTAATCAACGAATCTCAGCATGGTTTTACAAAGGGGCGTTCCTGCCTTACGAATTTATTAACTTTTTTCCTAAGGTATTTGAGGAGGTAGATCATGGTAATGAATATGATATTGTGTATATGGACTTCAGTAAGGCTTTTGACAGGGTCCCACATCAGAGACTATTGAGGAAAATTTAAAGCACATGGAATAGGAGGAGAAATTTTTTCCTGGATAGAGGCATGGTTGACAAATAGGCAGCAGAGAGTTTGCATAAATGGGGAGAAATCAGAGTGGGGAAGTGTCACGAGCGGTGTTCCACAGGGGTCAGTGTTGGGCCCCCTGCTGTTCACAATCTACATAAACGACATAGATGAGGGCATAAAGAGCGACATCGGCAAGTTTGCCGATGACACCAAAATAGGCCGTCGAATTCATTCTGACGAGGACATTCGAGCACTCCAGGAAGATTTGAATAGACTGATGCAGTGGTCGGAGAAGTGGCAGATGCAGTTTAATATAGACAAATGCAAAGTTCTAAATGTTGGACAGGACAATAACCATGCCACATATAAACTAAATAATGTAGATCTTAATATTACGGATTGCGAAAAAGATTTAGGAGTTCTGGTTAGCAGTAATCTGAAACCAAGACAACAGTGCATAAGTGTCGCAATAAAGCAATAGAATCCTTGGCTTCATATCAAGAAGCATAAATAATAGGAGTCCTCAGGTTGTTCTTCAACTCTAATACATCCTTGGTTAGGCCTCATTTAGATTATGCTGCACAGTTTTGGTCACCTTATTACAGAATGGATAAAATTCTCTGGAAAATGTACAAAGGAGGATGACAAAGTTGATCCCATGTATCAGAAACCTTCCCTATGAGGATAGACTAAGGGCCCTGAATCTGCACTCTCTGGAAAGGCGTAGAATTAGGGGGGATATGATTGAGGTGTATAAGTGGAAGACAGGAATAAATAAAGGGGATGTAAATAGTGTGCTGAAAATATCTAGCCTAGACAGGACTCGCAGCAATGGTTTTAAGTTGGAAAAATTCAGATTCAGGAAGGATATAGGAAAGTGCTGGTTTGGTAATAGAGTTGTGGATGAGTGGAACAAACTCCCAAGTACCGTTATAGAGGCCAGAACGTTGTGTAGCTTTAAGAATAGGTTGGATAAATACATGAGTGGATGTGGGTGGGTGTGAGTTAGACCTGATAGCTTGTGCTACCAGGTCGGTTGCCGTGTTCCTCCCTTAAGTCAATGTGACCTGACCTGACTAGGTTGGGTGCATTGGCTTAAGCCGGTAGGAGACTTGGACCTGCCTCGCATGGGCCAGTGGGCCTTCTGCAGTGTTCCTTCGTTCTTATGTTCTTAAGAAATGCGAGGTTTGACGAATGGTGTGATGGAGTGAACACATCGACTCCAGACTGAGGGACTGATTACCTCAAACTCCTCCTCTCCTTATACCTTCCTGCTTTGTATAAGACTAATGAAGTCACTGTGTGGCGAAACGTTTCTTCAGTAAAGACTCCCATTCAAATGCGAGGTTACACGTTTTGAAGGAGAAAATGGCAGCCCGACACAGCATGAGAGGAGAAACGCTGCTAATATCAGAGTGAAAAGGTCCTGGGATGAGCATAACACCTCCAGCATCCCCAGAACTGCATATATCCCGTACAACGGCAGAGCCATATCCAAGATTATCAAACCTCAGAAGAGAATTCAGGACTTTGAATAAAGAATCCTTCGGAACTTTATATTATGCCAGTCATTGAACACAGCTCCAGCACGGGAAAAATGGTTCAGTCACGCTAAGAAACTTGAAAGGGTCCAAAGGCTTGCAGCCAGAAAGAATTCAAAAGGCCGTGGCTCTCTTGATCTTCAGACTACATCCACTACTTCACTAGCACTCCACCTTTTGCCATTTTTCACTACAGTTATTACACTGCTACTACTACCGACTACCAACACCATTACTACTGCTTTGTAAATTGTGAGTTCATTACCTTTGTAATTGTTAGTTCATTACCTCTGTAACTTGCTCAGCTATCAAAAACTTTGGAGTCCAGTCCCTGGACCAATTATGTACCTCTGTAATCTTTTGACTACCGCCCACAGGATGGGTATGGGGTGCATAATAAACATATTAAACTAAACTACTACTACTGTTACTACTACTACTACCACTCTCTCCTCCCATTCTATCACTCCCATCTCCCACCCCCTCCAGTATATATTCTCGCTCCAGGTTGGGTAAGACACGTACAATAGTTAGGTTGCATCATTCCAAAACGCTTCGCCTATACAGTAGGCTTCTTCAGTTGTATATCAGTGATATACAATACCGACAAGATGATGAATTAGACACATGTGCAACATCTGGGTATTTTGTTTACCAGTGATATACAGCTTGTCAGACACAGGAGCATCATGGAATCTTGGTACAGTGGACATCACCACAACCTACTTGCTAACTCCTGGAACATCCCTTGGGTATGACCAACTTCCAGTGGGGAGTCTCACCTACCAGTGACAATGCCTTCGTCTACTGCACCTCAACTGACACCAGTATAAGCGTCAATCTTCCTGCCTGTGGCTCCCGTCAATAAGAAAAAACATCAAGACAGAATTTGTAATCATCAAGCACAGTAACCATGACTGTCACGGCAGGTAGGCCTACTCTCCCCACCCACCAGGACCTAGGGGCCTGGAGGTGGGGAGAGGATAATTTGTCAGTTCTCTAACCCATTTATCAACATTCCTGTCAGTCACAGCAACATCTTGGGATCTTGATACAGGAAACTCTTCACTTGCCTAACTTACAGGCATGACCCACTTGCACCTCTGGATCCGTCCAGTGTGATATCGCCTACAACTGCTTCACCTCATCTGTCTACAGTATATATACCGTTGTTATATTCACAGTATCAGGCACTGCAACACAACAGAATCTTGTTAGAGAGGACATCTTCGACCACTTAACTGTCTAACCACTAGTTACAAGTGAAGGAGGTTATATTTGAGAGGGACCCACCCAGTATGCTTGATACACAGTTATCTTTACTAGCGAGCCCAGCTTCTGCTATTGTCTTCAAGATTTTCTACGCCTACGTGACTTTGTCAATGGTCCAAGTCGGACCGAAACGTCGTCGTAAGCTTCTCTCTTTTATGTGCGGGTTATTTGTGTATAGTTCCAGTCACGGTATTGTGCCTTTTTGTTATTTTCTACGCCTCACATGTGCCAGTATATAAGTCTCTACTCTGATTTTTCAGCTTCACATTGTTCCAGATTATGGAGGGACTAACCCTCTCAAACCTGCTTCAGGGGCGAGGGACTGATTACGTAGTCCTTACATCACCACTCCTGCAGCCTCTTCTGTATTAAACTGACGAAGCTTACCTTGTTGAGGAAATGTTTCGACAAAGATACCTAACTGTTGTCGGTGTTGCATGTTGTTACAATATTTACAAAACTTGGTCATGATTAGACGATGTAAGATCAATTTATGTCAGACTAGGAAGGGGAGAGGAACAGACCAAGTTAAACCAAGGTCATATCAGGTCAAGTTATATCAGGTTAGGCATAAGTTAGGGCTGTCAGGTCATAATCAGGTGGTTCAGGTCTCGGGTCAGGTCAGGGTTAGTGATTAATCTTACCTTACGTTTGGCCATATCAGATGTGACCTGGGATGCTGGAGTGACCTGGGATGCTGGGGTGAGCTGGGATGCTGGGGTGAGCTGGGATGCTGGGGTGAGCTGGGATGCTGGGGTGAGCTGGGAAGATGTCTGCCCTTTCACGAGCTTCCTCAAGGGGGATTGGTTTCTGCACTTGTTCTTGTTGGTATTTACGTTGGAAGTGTTGGTGTTGGTGGAAGACTTAGTGGTGGAGATCATGCACTTGGTGTTGGAGAATTTCTCACCATCACTGATGAGAAACGGCATGGATTTTTTCCTCTGTTTCACATTCTTTAGTTTCTTCTCATTGTCCTGAGAAATAATAATAATCTGAGAGCCTCTTATCAATACATGTTATTTTCAAACTGATTTTGCACTTGTCTTGATTCCTGGGAAGTGTTGTGTAAAATAGGAACACTGGGGAAGTTTGTGTACAATGGCCTTTTTTTTTTAAAATTCCTTTTTTTTTTAAAAGGAAAGTTAAAAATTTTTTTTAAAAAAATTTTGGGGGGGTTTTTTTTTTTTTTCCCCCGGGTTTTTTAAAAAAATTTTTTAATTTTGGGGGAAAAAAAAAAAACCCAAATTTTTTTGGGGTTTTTTTAAAAAAAAAAAAAAAAAAATTTTTTTTTTTTAAAAAAGGGGGGGAAAAAATTTTTTTTCCCCCTTTTTTTTTTTAAAAAAAAAAAGGGGGGGGGGGGGGGGGTTGTTGGGGGGGGTTCCTTTTGGGTTGGGGGTTTTTTTCCCGGGGTTTTTTTTTTTTGGTTGGGGGGGGGGTTTGGGGGGGGGTTTTTTTTTTGGGGGGTTTTTGGGGGAAAGGGGGTTTTTTGGGGGGGGGGGGGGGTTGCCCCCAAACCCCCCGGGGGGGGTTGGTTTTTTTTTTTTGGAATTTTGGAAAGTGTTGGGGGGGGGGAAAAATTTGGGGGGGGAAAAAATTTTTGGTGTTGGAAAATTTCTCACCCTCACTGATGGAAAAGGCATGGATTTTTTCCCCCTGTTTCACATTTTTTTAGTTTCTTCTCATTGTCCTGAGAAATAATTTAAAAATCTGGAGCCTTTAACAAAACATTTTTTTTCAAAAAATAGATTAAACACTTGTCTTTGATTCCTGGGGAAAGTTGTTGGGAAAATAGGAACACTGGGGAAAAGGGGTTTTTGTACATATGAACAAATGGGGAAAATGTTGTGCACATAGTGAACACTGGAGAAGTGTTGTGCACAAATTTAACAATGGAAAAGTGGGTTGGGGTACATAGGAACACTGGGGAAATGTTTTGGGAAAATAGTGAAAAGGAGAAGTGTTGGGCACATAGTGAAAACTGGGGGAAGGGGGGTTGTGTACATAGGGGAACACTGGGGAAGTGTTGTGTACATAATTTAAACTGGGGGAAGTGTTGTTTTTACATAGTGAACGGGGGAAGTGTTGTGTACATATTTAACAATGAGAAGTGTTGTTTTACTAGTGAACCCGGGGAAGTGTTTTGGGAAAATAGTGAACACTGGGGAAGTGTTTTGCAATAGTGAACACGGGGGAAATGTTGTGCACACAGTGAACAAATGGGGGAAATGGGGGGGGTACATAGTTTAACCTGGGGGAAATGTTGGCCCAAGGAACACTGGGGAAGTGTTGTGTACATAGTGAAAAACTGGGGAAGTGTTTGTGCACACAGTGAACACTGGGGAAGTGTTGTGCAAAAAGTGAACAATGGAGAAGTGTTTTGCCCCACCTTTTAAAAACCCTGGGGGGAAAGGGTTTTCACATAAATTAACATGGAGAAAAGGGGTTTAAAATAAATTTAACACTGGGGAAGGTTTTTGCACCCAGGTGAACACGGAGATGGGGTTTTTGTAAAATGAAAACTGGGGAAGGTTGTGCACTTTGTGAACACGGGGAAGTGTTTTGCACACAATTTACACTGAGGAAGTTTTTGTGCACCAATGAACAATGGGGAAAATGTTGTGTACATGTTGAACCTGGGGAAGGTTTGTTCACACAATGAAACTTGGGGGGGTGTTTTTGCACACAAAGAAAAAACTGGGGAAAATGTTGGGCACACAATGAACACTGGGGGGGGGTGTTGTGTACACAGTGAACACGGGAGAAATGTTGTGTACAAAGTGACACTGGGGGAAAGTGTTTTTGAATAGTGAACCCAAGGAGAAGTTTTGTGCAATAGTGAAAAATGGGGAAAAAAGTTGTGTAAAAACAGTGAAAAAAATGGGGGGAAATGTTGGGTAAATTGAACACTGGGGAAGTGTTGTGTACATAGTGAACACGGGAAGTGTTGTGTACATAGTTTAACACTGGGGAAAGTTTTGGGGACTTTTGGAAAACTGGAAGGGGAAAAGGGTTTTGGTTTCAAAGTGAACACTGGGGGGAAATGTTGTGCACAATTTGTGAAAATGGGGAAAATGTTGTGTACTAAATGAAACCCCTGGGAAAATGTTGTGCACATAGTGAAAACCGGAGAATTTTTGTCACATAGTGAACACTGGGGAAGTGTTGTGTACATAGTGAACACTGGAGAAGTGTTGTGCACATAGTGAACACTGGGGAAGTGTTGTGTACATAGTGAACACTGGGGAAGTGTTGTGTACATAGTGAACACTGGAGAAGTGTTGTGTACATAGTGAACACTGGGGAAGTGTTGTGCACATAGTGAACACTGGAGAAGTGTTGTGCACATAGTGAACACTGGAGAAGTGTTGTGCACATAGTGAACACTGGGGAAGTGTTGTGCTACATAGTGAACACTGGGGAAGTGTTGTGTACATAGTGAACACTGGGGAAGTGTTGTGCACATAGTGAACACTGGAGAAGTGTTGTGCACATAGTGAACACTGGGGAAGTGTTGTGCACATAGTGAACACGGGAGAAGTGTTGAGCACATAGTGAACACTGGGGAAGTGTTGTGCACATAGTGAACACTGGAGAAGTGTTGTGCACATAGTGAACACTGGAGAAGTGTTGTGCACATAGTGAACACTGGAGAAGTGTTATGCACATAGTGAACACTGGAGAAGTGTTTGCACAAGTGAACACATGGAGAAGTGCTAGCACATAGTGAACACTGGAGAAGTGTTAAGCACATAGTTAACACTGGAGAAGTGTTAAGCACATAGTGAACACTGGAGAAGTGTTGTGCACATAGTGAACACTGGATAAGTGTTAAGCACATAGTTAACACTGGAGAAGTGTTGAGCACATAGTTAACACTGGAGAAGTGTTGAGCACATAGTTAACACTGGAGAAGTGTTGTGCACATAGTGAACACTGGAGAAGTGTGTGCACATAGGTGAACACTGGAGGGAAATGTGTGCACTAGTGAAACACTGGAGAAGTGTTTAAGCACATAGTTAACACTGGGGAAGTGTTAAGACATAGTTAACACTGGGGAAGTGTTAAGCAATAGTAACACTGGGAAGTGTTAAGCACATAGTTAACACTGGAGAAGTGTTAAGCACATAGTTAACACTGGGGAAGTGTTAAGCACATAGTTAACACTGGAGAAGTGTTAAGCACATAGTTAACACTGGGGAAGTGTTTAAGCACATAGTTTAACACTGGGGAAGTGTTAAGCACATAGTAACACTGGGAAGGTGTAAGCACATAGTGAACACTGGAGAAGTGTTAAGCACATAGTTAACACTGGGGAAGTGTTAAGCACATAGTTAACACGGGGAAGTGTTTAAGCACATAGTTAACACTGGAGAAGTGTTAAGCACATAGTGAACACTGTAGAAGTGTTAAGCACATAGTAACACTGGAGGAAGTGTTGTCACATAGTTTAACACTGGAGAAGTGTTTTAGCACATAGTGAACACTGGGAAGTGTTAAGCACATAGTTAACACTGGGGAAGTGTTGCACATAGTGTAACACTGGAGAAGTGTTAAGCACATAGTGAACACTGGAGAAGTGTTAGCACATAGTTAACACTGGGGAAGTGTGTTAAGCACATAGTTAACACTGGGGAAGTGTTAAGCACATAGTTAACACTGGGAAGTGTTAATCACATAGTAACACTGGGGAAGTGTTAAGCACATAGTTAACACTGGGGAAGTGTTTAGCACATAGTTAACACTGGGAAGTGTTAGCACATAGTTAACACTGGGGAAGTGTTAGCACATAGTTAACACTGGGGAAGTTGTTAAACACATAGTTAACACTGGGAAGGTGTTAACACATATTAACACTGGGAAGTGTTAAGCACATAGTTAACACTGGGAGAAGTGTTTAGCACATAGTTAACACTGGGGAAGTGTTAGCACATAGTTAACACTGGGGAAGTGTTAAGCACATAGTTAACACTGGGGAAGTGCTTAAGCACATAGTAACACTGGGAAGTGTTAAGGCACATAGTTAACACTGGGAAGTGTTTAAGCACATAGTTAACACTGGGGAAGGTGTTAACACATAGTTAACACTGGGGAAGTGTTAAGCACATAGTTAACACTGGGGAAGTGTTAAGCACATAGTTAACACTGGAGAAGTGTTAAGCACATAGTTAACACTGGGGAAGTGTTAAGCACATAGTTAACACTGGGGAAGTGTTAAGCACATAGTTAACACTGGGGAAGTGTTAAGCACATAGTTAACACTGGGAAGTGTTTTAAACACATAGTTAACACTGGGGAAGTGTTAAGCACATAGTTAACACTGGGGAAGTGTTAAGCACATAGTTAACACTGGGGAAGTGTTAAGCACATAGTTAACACTGGGGAAGTGTTAAGCACATAGTGAACACTGGGGAAGTGTTAAGCACATAGTTAACACTGTGAAGTGTTAAGCACATAGTTAACACTGGAGGGAAGTGTAAGCACATAGTTAACACTGGGGAAGTGTTAAGCACATAGTTAACACTGGGAAGTGTTAAGCACATAGTTTAACACTGAGAAGTGTTAAGCACATAGTTAACACTGGGAAGTGTTAAGCACATAGTTAACACTGGGGAAGTGTTAAAACACATAGTTAACACTGGGGAAGTGTTAAGCACATAGTTAACACTGGGGAAGTGTTAAGCACATAGTTAAACACTGAGAAGTGTTAAGCACATAGTTAACACTGGGAGAAGTTTAGCACATAGTAACACTGGGGAAGTGTTAAGCACATAGTTAATACTGGAGAAGTGTTAAGCACATAGTTACACTGGGAAGTGTTAAGCACATAGTTAACACTGGGGAAGTGTTAAGCACATAGTTAACACTGGGGAAGTGTTAAGCACATAGTTAACACTGGGGAAGTGTTAAGCACATAGTTAACACTGTAGAAGTGTTAAGCACATAGTTAACACTGGAGAAGTGTTAAGCACATAGTGAACACTGGGGAAGTGTTAAGCACATAGTTAACACTGGGGAAGTGTTAAGCACATAGTTAACACTGGAGTAGTGTTAAGCACATAGTTAACACTGGGGAAGTGTTAAGCACATAGTTAACACTGGGGAAGTGTTAAGCACATAGTTAACACTGGAGAAGTGTTAAGCACATAGTAACACTGGGGGAAATGTTAAGCACATAGTTAACACTGGGGAAGTGTTAAGCACATAGTTAACACTGGGGAAGTGTTAAGCACATAGTTAACACTGGGAAGTGTTAAGCACATAGTTAACACTGGGGAAAGTGTTAAGCACATAGTTAACACTGGGGAAGTGTTTAACACATAGTTAACACTGGGAAGTGTTAAGCACATAGTTAACACTGGGGAAGTGTTAAACACATAGTTAACACTGGGGAAGTGTTAACACATAGTTAACACTGGGGAAGTGTTAAGCACATAGTTAACACTGGGAAGTGTTAAGCACATAGTGAACACTGGGGAAGTGTTAAGCACATAGTTAACACTGGGGAAGTGTTAAGCACATAGTTAACACTGGGGAAGTGTTAAGCACATAGTTAACACTGGGGAAGTGTTAAGCACATAGTTAACACTGGGGAAGTGTTAAGCACATAGTTAACACTGGGGAAGTGTTAAGCACATAGGAACATACAGCACTTAAGGAATGGAAGGTAATAATTAATATTATTATAATTATAAATATAGACTAAACTTACAGGATCATATAACACTCAAGAAATAGGAGGTAATTATTGTGTGAACAGGGAACCCCTAAACCCGCAGGGGTTGTACACCACCTGTAAAATGGAAGGTAACTATTATCCTATTCCTGGGGAAGCACCAGTTGCTTAAAACAATTCGTTCGTGGATGCTGGTGAAGGCTGATATTTCCAATGGGAGAAGAATGAAATTAGTCGTGTAGCTTCCATTGCCACGTCTGTGCTGGCATCAGTGGTGACGTGTCCAGTGGTACTGGGCACCTGATGTGTCAAGCAGTGGGTGGGTAAAGAAGACAGGTCCTGTAGTGAATCTAAATATTTGGGTGGGAAGTTCCTTTGTGCTGTGTAATTCCTGATGCTGTGCTGTCGTTCTACATTAGGTTGGGTGCTGCTATGTAATTCTTGGTGGCGAATTCTGAAATAACGTCTGGTTTCCATTGTTCCTGTGAGATGATGAAATTGGGGGTGGCAGCTAAGAGGTCAGATTCTATGATTTTGCGTTTGTAGCTGCAGTGTGAATTGTGTTTGATGGTGACAACTTCCCAATTAATGTTGTGATTGTTGTTGCTGACATGTTGAAAAAATGGCTGAATTATCCTACTGCTTCTCTTCAGGACCTGTTTTCTCACCCACTCACTACTTGTCTCGTCCCTCCACTTACATGGACGAGGTGAGGTGCAACCTTCCCTATATACTCTTGTTCTCATTTCACTTATATATCCACTGAAGAGGATCCCACAAGGGGATAGCTTTGGGTAGTGGTGGTTTTGATAAGGACCTGCCTTGTACGGGTCAGTAGTGAACATAGTGAACTTAGTGAAAACATAGTGAACATATTAATTTTGTCAAGCACTTGGATGTTCACTATTTTTTATACGCTGGCATGGTGACCCGAATAAGAAACACTTTTACCATCATGTACACTATCACTGTCTTGCCAGAGTCTTGCAGATACGACAGTTTAGATGTTCCTCTAAACAGTAAATATCTCAAACCCGTCCTTTAGAGTGCAGGCACTGTCCTTCCTATCTCCAGGACTCAAGTCTGGCTAACCAGTTTCACTGAATCCCTTTACAAAATATTACCTTACACTCCAATAGCTCATTAAGTTCCAAAAACCATCTGTCTCCACTTACTCCTAACACACTTACACATGCCTGCTGTATGTCCAAGCCCCTTTCACACAAAACCTCCTTTACCCCCTCCATCCTTTCCTAGGACGATCTTTACCATGCCTTCCACCCACTACAGATTTATACATCCTCCAAGTTATTCTATTTTGCTCCATCTTCTCTAAATGACTAAACCACCTTAACAACCCTTTCTCAGACCTCTGGACAATCCTTTTCGCAACTCCACACATCCTAATTTTCACACACTGAATTCTCTTCATAATATTTACACCACACATTGCCCTCAGGCACGATATCTCCACTGCCTTCAGCCTCCTCCTCGCTGCAACATTCATAACCCATGCTTCATACTCATATAAGGGTGTTGATATCACTCTACTCTCATATTTTCCCATCTTTACCTAAATGGATAACGTTCTGTCTGAAGAGATACCTCAATGAGCCATCCACCTTTTTCCCTTCATCAACTCTATGGTTTATCTCGTCCTTCATAAACCCATCTGCTGACAAATTAACTCCCGAATATCTTAACACATTCACTTTCTCCCATCTGATATTCAATTTTTCCTTATCTAACTCGTTTGATAGCCTCATCACCTTACTCTTATCTGTGTTCGCTTTCAGCTTCCATTACACACCCTCCTAAACTCGCTAAACTAGTCCACTAACCTTTATGACTTCACTTCAGAATCTCCCAAAAGCACAGTATCATCAGCAAAAAATAACTGTGCTAATTCCCGTTTTGTATTAGATTCCGCATATTTTAATCCCAACCCTCTCCCCTACACCCTAGCATTTACTTTTTTAAAACCCCATTTATAAATATGCTAAACAACCATGGTGACATCACACATTCGTGTCTAAGGCCTACTTTTACTGGAAAGTAATCTCAGTAAATGTCTTGATAATCACACAAGTGTCTTTCTTACATAATAATGATATAAATCTTTTTTTTATGGTAGTGTGCGAGAATTGTAGTCTTTAATGATTCACATGGAACTGATATTAAGTCTAATAAACTTAAGAGTACCTCAGAGGCTGCCTGAAGTTGGGGCTGTGGAAGATTGATGTACTTGTGGGGGTCGTTTTGATGGTGGTCATCCTGGTGGTGATGGTCCTGATGGTGGTGCTTGTGGTGGTGGTGATGGTCCTGATAGTGGTCTCCAGAAGGATCATACAAGAGTCCCGTTCGATACTTGTCGCTCAGACTACGACCTGGCATGCTGTTTGGTGACCTATGGCCATCCCCTTTGTCTACTGATTCGTCATCACAGTTGCCATAATTACACTGATCAATGGGCGAGTCGTCCCTGGGATACTGGTTGCCACATGAGTGTCTGCAGTTGTCGTGAGAATCCCAGGAGTTCCTGGAATCACGACACTTCTTTTTGTAGGAGCTGTAGGATCTCTCACAAGTTGTGTTCAACTGGCCATGCTTCACCTTTTGTGGCGTCGCATCGAGCGGCGATGCCTCCTCGTCGGAAGACGCCCCGTGGAATTCCGTAAAGTTGGCTAGTGGATCCACATCAGGTTCATTCTTCAGCCGAGGGTCGAATAATAAACTGATTTTTATTTTTTTCCTCTTTTCTTTTTGTTTAGTGGCTGTTTTGCTGACCTGTTCCTTCTTCAGGTTGTTCTTTTTGTTCTCTAATTTGCTGTTCTTATTCTTCAAAGTGAGATGGTCTGTATGTTCAGGTGTTTCCTCAGGGAAGGTATTGTTCTTGTCTTGATTCTGTGACTTTGAGAGACTGGTCTTGTCAGGTTCATCATCTTGGTGACCCATGACAGGTTTGCGAGGTATGTACTGCTCAGTAACGGATTTGCTGGGGGTGTGTTGATGCTCTGTTATGGTCTCTGTATGCCGAAGCCTTTGGCTGGAGATCACTGAAGTGGTAGTCGACCGTTCCTTGTTGGAGACCACAGGAGATTTCTTGTTTGTAACCTCCATGACGGGACTAAGAGAATCCACCTCGTTGAGTGCCCGAGGCGTCATCTCTTCAGCTTGGCAGGGCATAGTGGTGTTCTTTTGGAGTTGTGGTCCTCTCCATCGAGTCAGTTCTGTAATCTCTTCCTCTTGCAGATTCTCACACTGCGTCATCTGGTCCTTGATCTGGGCCAGTGGGTTAATCATACTTCCCCAGCACTCTTCCCTGGAGTTGGAAGTGTCAGAAGGAAGTGGTACTGTATCCTGGCTTTGTTGGTTGGAACTGGAAATTCCTGGCGCTGGAGGAGAATGATTGATTTTTCCTAAATCGTGGTTAACCTGACGTACGAGAGTGGTGGAGGTCAAGTTATTGTAGCTAACTTTGTGACCTCGCTTCTGCTCCTGGTTCTGGAATTGGTTCTGCGTTTTTGACTGACGGTTACTGGATTGCTGCTGCTTCTGTTGCCTTAATGTTTGCTTTTGAATGGTCATTTTGTTGTGGGTGGAGTGTAGTGTGGGCATTATCGCAGGGTTCTTGCGGTCACATAGTTGTGTTTGGGTTTGAGCTATGGGCAGCACTTCTGTCTGCACAGATACTGTTGACATCTTAATATCATTGCCAGAGTGTTCTTTGCACTCCTCCCGTTTGTCGTGGATCAGACGCCTCACATTGTCCTCTGGAGTCTGGTAGGTCTCACAGGTGTCGCAGTTGTTGTCGTCCTGATACTGGTTTCTTCGAGGCTGGTTAAGGAGAGGGTCGTCGTAGGGGTGGTAGTAAGAGGAAAAATGATTTTCATGGTCGTCTTCAGTAATGATGATCTTGGCAGAGTACTCTCTTCCCTGGTGCAAGCTGTCACAGTTTTTATCTGTTTTACTCCAGCAGCTTGCATGGGGTGGGTGCCCTTTTTTCTTGTTGACCTGAGCATAGATAGGAGCTTCATGGGTCGGGGTATGGTGACCGGTAATTCGGGACGGGGAGAGCCTCCTCACTGCCTGCACGGACGCCAGGGGTGTTTTGCCTGTATAGCTAAAGGGTTGGTTATTATTGTGGTTGTGGTAGCGACTGGGCTCAAGTATACCCCGCTGGCCTGGATTCATTTTCTTCACTTCTGTTAAAGGCTGACGATGCATTTCCTCAGAATTCTGGTTGAATTTCTTAATAATTTTTCTCACGCGGAATTTGCTCGGTGTCTGCTGGTCATGAGTCTTGCTTGTTTCAGAGACTGCCACTGACTGGAGGTGCTCCACGGACTTGAACCCTTGCAGATGGCTACCGATGCCATGTCTGCTTCCGTTAGCAAGATTATCTGCTGACATGTAGGCCGTAACTGGCGCTTTCCTACTCAAGTTGGTGTTGCTCTCATCACGGAGAGAATTATTCTCCCGTTGGCCAGAACCTTTCCTGTTAGAGTGAGGGGTGCCAAGGTCGGGCAACAAGTGACGAGGGGTCAAATGAAGGGCACGGCGAGACAGGTGTGGGAACTCTTCTACTTTATTGTCAGGTAAATGGTCAGCAGATCTGTGCCGTTGGGCTAGCAAGCCGCTGTTAGGAAATGGGTGATGGGCATGAATTCCATTCGAGTTCCTTTTAATCTTCCTGTTAATGGGATTAACAGTACGGGAGTCAGGTGGATCCCGTGGCTGTCCACGATTCTCCCCATGTACCAGTTTGGTTTTCTTATTGTTCTTGACACTGTTGAAGAGGACGTTGTTGAATGTGTTGTCGTTCAGTTTGTTTGCAGTGCTGTTCTTGTTCATGGGAAGGCGGCCAAAGGAGTATTTTTTAACGCCAGATTGACGTGGTTTGAGCGTTTGCCAATGTTTGGCTTGCTGCTTAGCTTTTTGGAAGAACGGTTGGGAGCCCCGTGAGCAATTTTTCCCATTCGTCCGTTGGGGGTCAAGCGAACTGAAACCGGGGTTTTTGTACACCCCGGGGAAATGTGTTTCCACCCCAATTCCTTATAAAGGACACCCGTTGTCGAGACTCAGACCCCCGGGACTCTGTACAGGACCCTGCAAGGTGACGTTTTTTTCCTGCGATGGCACGTCACCGGGGCGATCGCGGTTTCACCTGTTTGGGTTCGATTTACCTGTGCTGGTTTCCTGACTTCAAGGGGAGCACCACTGATCCCCCTGGGGGATGTTTGGGAAGATTCACATAAGATTAAAAACCTCCCCATTTTCCCCTCCATACAGCAGTATCTGGGGCTCTAGAACTGAGTCCTGGCATCTGCTTGTGTTGTCGTTTCTCAACCTGAAAAAAAAACAAAATTTAAAAACTTTTCTCCATGACGTTGGGGCAGGTGCACGCGTATGTGTGTTGTACTCCCCTTTTTGTGGTTGCGGGGGTCGATTCACAGCTCCGGGGCCCACTTTTTCGCTTTGCTACTAGGTACAACTGTTTCCCTGCTCCATGACTTTGTGTTCTCTACGTGCATGTGGGTTTACGCCCCTATAGGGTTTTTCAAGGGTCAAGATCAGCCCCGGGCCCTGCGTCTTCGCGGGTGCACTAGGTGTGTGTGTTGTGTGTGTGTGTGTGTGTGTGTGTTTTTGGGGGTGTGTGGTGGTGTATGTGTGTGTGTGGGTGTGGGGGGGGTGGTGTGTGTGTGTTGGGGTTTCATTTGTTATCCATGGTGCGGCATGCGTTTGTGTTACCAATAAGAAAAAATCATGACCCGTGAAACCATCCAAATTTTGTTAATATATATTACTACTATATGGAGAAAATACAATGAAGACAAATCGGGTAACACACACAAAACCTGTGGAATGCGTGTAAGTAGTCCCAAAAACCTCAAATGTCGCCGGAGTGTAAAAACTTTTCCTTTATCTCTGAAATAACGGGATAACATTGTGAAAAAAGTAAATAAAATGCAACTTACAATTTTAATAATGATAGGAAAAAGATCTATAAAAAAAGGTTTTAAAAAAAATTTTGAAACTCACCTTTTTTGTGTTTTTTGTTCAGCTGTTCCAAAGTTTCTCTAGACATTTTTCTTAATTAAAGTAATGATTATATCTTTTCTGTGTCTGTTAAATTTTAGGTTTATTTTTAAAAATTACGGTATTAAAAAACACTATAAAATTTTTTTAAGTCAGTGGAGGTTTAATGAGTTTTTTTTAAGAGTGTTTTGTGAGTTTAAAATTAAGGGAAGAAAGGAAGGGGGCCCGAGATTACCCCTTAATCTGTAAATACCTTTTTAACTTGCCTGATGTGACCACATCTACCCGGAGGTCTAACCTTTGTAAATAGTTTCAGCTATCATAACTTTTGGGGTTTAATCCCGGACCCATTATGTACCTCTAACTTCTGACTACCACCCCGGGGGGTATGGGTGATACCAACCCCCCGGATGGGTATTGGGTGGGGCTCTACCACAGGGGGGGGTTTTGGGGGGGCTACCACCACAGGAGGGTATGGGGGGACTACCACCACGGTGGGTATGGGGTGATTTCCCACCACAGGATGGGATGGGGGGACCCACCACAGGAAGGGTATGGGGTTGATACCACCACAGGAGGGTATGGGGGTGAAATACCACCCACAGGAGGGTTGGGGTGACTACCACCACAGGGTGGGGATGGGGTTGACTACCACCCAGGTGGGTAGGGGGGGACTACCACCACAGGTGGGTATGGGTGACCCACCACAGGAAGGGGATGGGGGGGACTACCACCCCAGGATGGGGAGGGGTACTAACCCCCCACAGATGGGTATGGGGGTGACTACCACCGAGGTGGTATGGGGTGACTCCCACCCAGGGTGGGTATGGGGTACTACCACCACAGGATGGGGATGGGGTACTCCACCCCGGATGGGTAGGGGTGACTACCACCAAGGATGGATGGGGTGATACCACCAAGGATGGGTATGGGGGATACCACCACAGGAGAGAATGGGGTGACTCCACCACGGGGGGGTATGGGGGGGACACCCCCACAGGAAAGGGGTAGGGGTTTACTACCACCACGGATGGGGATGGGGGGACTACCCCCACGGGTGGGGTTGGGTGACTACCACCCAGATGGGGGATGGGGGACTACCACCACAGGTGGGGATGGGGGGGGGCTACCACCACAGGATGGGTATGGGTATACCACCACAGGATGGGTAGGGGTGACTACCAACGGATGGGGTTGGGGGGACTAAACCACCCGGATGGGTATGGGTGACTACCCCACAGGATGGGGATGGGTGCTACCCCCACGGGGGGTTTTGGGGGGACTACCCCCCCAGGAGGGGATGGGGTGATACCCCCCCACAGGATGGGGTTTGGGGTCAAACCACCACAGGGTGGGTATGGGGGTGACTACCCCCCAAGATGGGTATGGGTTTACTCCCCCCCCAGGGGGTAGGGGTGACTACCACCCACAAATGGGTAGGGGTGACTCCACCACAGCATGGGAATGGGGGAACCCCCACAGGATGGGTTGGGGGGGACTACCACCAAGGGGGTATGGTTAACCCACAGATGGGTATGGGGGGGACTACCAACCCCAGGATGGGTATGGGGTGACTCCACCACAGGTGGGGATGGGGTGATACCACCCACAGGATGGGGGATGGGGTGACTACCCCACAGGATGGATGGGGTGACTACCCCCACAGGATGGGGATGGGGGGACTCCCCACAGGAGGGGTTTGGGGGGCTACCGCCCACAGGTGGGGTTTGGGGGGATTAGGACCCCCAGGAAGGTATGGGGTGAACTACCACCACGGATGGGTAAGGGGGGACACCACCCAAAAGGTGGGGGAAAGGGGGGACTACCCCCCAGGAGGGATGGGGGGACACCACCCACGGATGGGTAGGGGTTGACACCACCACAGGATGGGGAAAGGGGGGACTCCGCCCACAGGATGGAAAGGGGACTACCACCACAGGTGGGTATGGGGGGGGTACCACCACAGGATGGGTTGGGGGATACCCCCCACAGGATGGGTATGGGTGACTACCACCACAGGATGGGTATGGGGACTACCGCCCACAGGATGGTTATGGGGTGATTAGACCCACAGGATGGGGATGGGGACTACCATCAAGGGTGGGGAGGGATGACTACCACCACAGGTGGGTATGGGGTGTACCCCCACAGGATGGTAGGGGTTTTATTTTGGACTTACAGGGTGGGTATGGGGACTACCCCCAGGGTAGGATGGGGTACTACCGCCCCAGGAGGGTATGGGGTGACACCACCACGGATGGGTTTGGGGGGACTACCCCCACAGGATGGGTATAGGTGAATACCACCCCCGGATGGGGTTGGGGGGGATAGGACCCCCAGGGGGGGTATGGGGGGACTACCACACAGGTGGGTTGGGTGCTACCCCCCACAGGATAGGGATGGGGGGGACTACCAACCCCCAGGATAGGGATGGGGTGACTTTTCCACCCCAGGGTAGGTGGAGTGACTCCCCCCCACAGGGTGGGTATGGGTACTACCCCCCACAGAGGGTATGGGGTGACTACCCCCACAGGATGGGTTTTGGGGACTAAACCCCCCACAGGATGGGTAGGGGTGACTACCACCCACAGCATGGACATGGGGGGGACTACCACCACAGGATGGGGATGGTGTGACTTTTCCCCCCCAGATGGGTATGGGGGGATACCACCACAGGGGGGGATGGTGTGACTACCACCCCAGAGGGTATGGGGTGATTACCAAACAGGGGTGGGTTTTTGGTGGATACCCCCCAGGATGATGGGGGGACTACTACCACAGGGGTGGTTTGGTGTGACACCCCACGGATGGGTATGGGGTGATACCACCCCTGGGTAGGGGGACTACCACAGACAGGATTGGGGGAAAGGGGGTGGTACATCCCAGGTTGGGTATGGGGTACTACCACCCCAGGAGGGGGAGGGGGACTACCACCCCCGGAAAGGGGAGGTGATACCACCCCCAGGATGGGTATGGGGTGACTACCACCCAGGATGGGTAGGGGTGACTACCACCCCCAGGGTGGGTATGGGGGGACTACCCCCCCCAGGAGGGTTGGGGTACTCCCCACAGGATGGGGAGGGGGGGACTACCGCCCACAGGGGTGGGTTGGGGTGACTAAAACCCCCAGGTAGGTATGGGGTGCTACCACCCAAGATAGGTATAGAGTGACTGCAAACCCCAGGTGGGTATGGGGGGACCCAATTTACAGGGGTGGGTATGGGGTGACTACCCCCCAAGGATGGGATGGGGTGACTACCACCAACAGATGGGTATGGTGTGACTACCATCACAGGGGGGGTATGGGGGGACTACCACCCACAGGTGGGTATGGGGTGAAATACCGCCCACAGGAGGGTAGGGTGATTAGGGCCACGGATGGGTGTGGTGACTCCCCCCCAAAGGATGGGGATGGAGGACTACCCCCCCAGGAAAGGGGAGGGGTGACTACCACCCACAGGATGGGTATGGGGTGATTAGGCCCACAGGATGGTATGGGTGACTACCACCCCAGGGGGTAAGGGGGACTACCACCCACAAAATAGGAAGGGGACTACCCCCCACAGGATGGGGATGGGGTTACTACCACCCCCAGGATGGTATTGGGGGACTACCCCCCACGGGGTGGGGAGGGGGGACTCCACCCACAGGTGGGTTGGTGTGACTACCTTTTACAGGGTGGGTAGGGGTGACTACCCCCCCACAGGATGGGGGATGGGGGAAACCCCACAGGGGGTTTTGGGGGACACCACCACAGGAAAGGGTATGGGGGGACACCACCCACAGGATGGGTATGGGGACACCACCCACAGGTGGGTATGGAGTCCCACCATAGGGGGTATGGG